TGTTGTCTGCAAGGCACATCTTTTGGCATTTCTTAGCACCTATCGTCTGACGTCATTAGCCGTTTCCGGGTCCCAAAATCAAACGAACACTGCGGCATCACTGAGAGTTACAAACTGTCTTCCATCTTTAATAAAATGATCAGCGCTGCTGCTCTACCAGGTGTAACAATAAAGTTTAACATCCAGGCATCCATGAAAACAGGATTTATGAAGTTTAACAAAGTTTGAAGTTAGCTAGCTAGGTATGTAATCTTTAGATGGAAACATGTTCTGACTGAGGGATTTCTGAAAAATTCAAACGTACAGCTCTGCTATCACTTCCGACATGAACGAAGACAGAAAACTAAACAGCAGTGACGTTTGTAGGGTTACTGAAGTTGGGCTAGCTGCTATATAATGATGTGCTACGTGGTGGCTAGCTACACAGCTTTAGTTAGCATGACATAAACACATAAACACAGTGAAGCTGGATGAAAGCTAATTTTTTCCACTTGATAAAAGTTAACGTGAAGGTTCCCGATGGTTAGGGACAAATGCAATCACATGGCAGGATGCTGTAAACGGACCAAACTTCAGTCAGAGAACAACTGAGATAATCCATCCACAATAGGAGGTTAGTCATTAATATACTGCAACAACATGGGAACAGAGCAGCTGCAGAGAATTCAGCATTAATGAATCAATGGTACGGAAGTGGAAGTTAGGCTAGCTGGTAAATAATGATGTGCTATGTGGTCGCTAGCGACACAGCCATGTTAGCATAACAAACAGTGAAGCTGCAGGATGAACGCTAACTTTTTCCACTCAATAAAAGTTAACGTGAGTGTTCCTGATGGTTAGGGACAAATGCAATCGCATGGCAGGATGCTGTAAAGGGATTAAACTTCAGTCAGGAGAACGACTGAGATAATCCATCCACAATACGAGGTTAGTCATTAATATACTGCTGCAAGGGCTGGGCTGTAGTTACATCGTAAGGGTTTAAAAACTGAGATTTTCTTTAGGTTCTTGTTCAGATTAAATAGAACAACTGGATACACAATCTTACGGAGCCCCGCAGGGGACATGGGAGAAAAAAAAATTAAGACGGACTTTTGCGAGATCTCGCAAAACAAACTCGGGATCTCGCAAAAATTTTGCGAGATCTCGCAAAACAAACTCTGGATCTCGCAAAACTTTTGCGAGATCTCGCAAAAGTTTTGGCCGCATTATTCCCATTAGCTTGAAGCTAACGGGAGGTCGAGACCTACTACAGCCGGGAGGAACACCGCTTTCCCGGCACATCGTGCCTCGACCTCCCGGTCGGCTTCGAGCCAGCATC